CCGGACACGAAAAGGACATCTAGACCTCGCGATTGCCTGCGATGGTTAAACTGTTTTTCGTGGAAACAGCGAGACTCAATTGTCGATTTCCACTGGTTGCATACGGTCTTGAATCTCAGGAGAGGCATTGCTGAAAGTCTCTGGAGGATTAGCTCTACAACATCGTGTGGTAGCAATTCGACACTCGGGCGATGTCTTTTCAACATCATTGTATCGTCTCTAATTGATCGATCACCAATCGATCGTGGCTCTAAATATAGAAGAGCTCAGCATTCGAATCCTACTCGAGCTAGGAATTGGACAAAAAAGGATAACTTTCATATCAGAGTTGCTTTCCATTTAGCATAAAGGAATTTCCAACACTTTACCGATAGAACTATGAATAAATTAAATGGAAAAAACTCAACAAGATATTACAGATTTCATCAAATCAAAATCACAATAACAAAATTGGAAAACCTATTATTTTTTTTCGCTTTTGGGCTTTCGACCAACGTGACCTTTAACTTTGTAAATTGCTTTTTGTTTTATTTTCAATTGACATTTACGTGACATTTTTCAACTAGCGAAAGTCAGAACTAAAAGAGTTTAAAAATTGGAAACATGAGATAACTTAAGAAATACGATTGCGAAAACGAGTCTGCTTCGAAGATACAATAAACTATAAACTGTCAAAAGAGGCAGAAACTTAAAACCAAAAATAACACAATCCCATGGAGTAGTAGTAAAAGTGTGTTCTTCTTCTAGGCTACAGGGATCATCTCAGGGTAATCTACGGCCGTGAGTGGAGCTTCCATCAAAGGAGCAGCCTGAGCAACAACCTGAGCAGGCACGGACTTCGTATCTTCTTCCTTAGGCGTATGAATGATGACAACATCAGGCAATGGTGTCATTGGTCCTGATTTGCCAAGAGGGTCCCAGGCAAGCATGATCTTAACCTTGATTCCAAGCACACCCTGAACATTTGGGTTAAACCAGACTCGGGTTAGACATTCCCAAGTTTACTAACTCAATAAGAGGAAAACAAGGGACTCCGAACGAGGAAACTCACCTGTCTAAGCAAAACATGTCTCACTGCCGAGTCAATGTACTCCTTGGTTGGCTGACCAGAGGAAACCATGTACCCATCCTTGAATTTCATGGACTTAGCACGTTGAGCACGGAGTTTTCCACTCACAATAACCTGCAATCAAGCATTTTGGTAAAGAACAATGACTGAGATATATTAAGGAGAAAATAACGGGATATTTGTGCTTACTTCGCATCCCTTAGCTCCATTCTCCATAACATATCTCAAAACACCATAACAGGCCCTGTACAACAAATAGTCATTGCATATATATTAACATTTTGGGGTAGGTGAGTATTTCAAATGAAACAACAAGTGTTAACACTCAGGACCTAGACAAGAGCTGGTTCAAAACCTTAGGTATGATCAGCGTGTTAAGTAGATAGAGAGATTACAACTACACAAAGCCATAATGAGTGTGCAAAGGTCGAAACCAGACAGAGAAACACAATTACAACAATATCCTATACATTAACTAGCAGGTTTGGTTAATGCCTATAAGAACAAGTAATCAAACAAATTCAATAGCTAAATGATTGCCTCCTTAATTGTTGTGTCAAACGAAACTAAAACGATATTAAAAATGTTGTATACCTACGAACAGCAAGACCACCGAGGAGCTTGTAACGGAGAGACTCAGCCTGAGCAATGGCACAAAGACCTCTGTTGATAACCTTTTCAGCATAAAGCTCAACACTGTCTTGAGGAAACTTGAATCTCTTCTGGACAAGAGATGTCAATTCCCTGATTCTCCTTCCCTTCTCACCTAAACCCAACAATCAAAAAGAGTATCGTTCTCAGATCCCAAGTTACAGACTCATCATTTCGAGAAGCAAAATGAAGATAAACAGATTCAACATACCGAGAACGTTCTGAGTACGAGTGGCTCTGATGATAATCTCAGTTCTCATAGGAGTAACCCTAACCTCAACACCAGAGTAACCATCCTCAGCGAGCTCTCTGGTCAAAAACTCATTCAATTCGGCGTAGAACACACCGTCCGCTACAAACTGCAGTAAAACGAAAAACAGTTCATATACAATGCACAGAGAGAAATCCATCGAAAGAGAAAATCAAAATCACAAATTCACCTTTCTCTTCTTGCTGATCTGAGTCGCCATATTGTGGATGTGAAAATCTTCCCGATCTCTGAAACCCTAAAGTTGAGAAGACGAAGCAGTAAATCTCAAGAGAATCGGAAAACGCTTGTTTCGTTTACTTATCAGTTTTCAGTATTTATATTTGACCTAATTCAGTGAACCAGGTTCTGTATCTAATTGATTTGGACTCTAAAAGCCTTACCAATATATGAGGCCCATTTTATTAGATTTAAGCGGCCCATTTATTGATTAATCCTTTAAGCAAAAATTCATTTCATTTTTGACCCCCAACAAAAAAAAAAAAACGTTTTCGTTCACAAGTTTCATTTTGACTCTCTGTCATATTTTCTTCGACGACAACAATGGCGTCAGCTCCGAAGAACACTCAGCAAAATCCTTTCTCTTTGAAACCTCCAAGGCCACCGTCTTCCGCCGCTGCAGCTACTACCGCCGGTGCCTCCACCTCAGCCGAGCCCCAAATTCGTAACCCTAACCCTAACGCTTTACCATCGACGTCGAATTCGCCGATTACGATGTCACAGGAGGATGAGATCCTCGCACGCTCCAGTCACCTAACCCGCCCGGAGCTTCTCCGACGCCGATCACACAACCTTAAGCAGCTCGCCAAGTGCTATAAGGACCATTATTGGGCTTTAATGGAAGATCTCAAGGCGCAACACAGGGAATACTACTGGAGATATGGAGTTAGCCCTTTCAAAGAAGAACAGAATCAATCGAATAAGAGACGGAGGTTGGGTCCGGAAGGAGAAATCGTAGATGATGATGCAGTTGAAGGTAGTGGAGATAATGGTAATAACAATGATGGTAGTAATGGTGTTAAGGTTGATCAGTATGCAAACAGTAATTGTGGAAGCTGTATGTATGGATGCAAAGCTAAAGCTATGGCGCTTACGAAATACTGTCAGCTTCATATTCTCAAGGATAGTAAGCAGAAGCTTTACACGGGTTGTACAAATGTCATCAAAAGGTTTGTGTTTTCAATTTACGTTTCTTAGTTTTATATATTTGCATAAACGTAGTTTTGTGTGCTTCAAGTTATGTTATTTTACATATTATAGTCGAGTTAGGATGTTGTAATGGTGATGAATTGGAACTTCCTTGCAATTTGTGTTATGTAAGGAGCCAAGAAACTGCCTTTTTCCTCGGAGTTTGCAGTAGGGATTTGGAATTGACAATTAGCTCCGTCTCAAGATATCACAAGAGATTAAGAGAATATATTTAGCTTTGGACACCGAGATAGTGATCCTTGTAGATTTGGTTCTTTCCTTTAATCTTGATCGACGTGCTGTGTTATTCCGGATGATATACGTAACTGACAAAGATGGTTGGAGTTTTCCCTTTGATGTGTCTTTGCTAAAGAGGTAGGATTAGGAGTGTTTGCATAGCTGAACAATGGCATGGAACTCTTTGATATGTAAACTGAGTTGGAATAAGTTCATCTGTGATAGTAATTGAACAGTAACCAGGCATATTTCAAATATTGTGTGCTGAGTCGTAATTAGCTTATGGTGATTACTTAAGCAGTTCTCTCCTAACGCTGCATTGTTTGTATTGCACATTCAGAGCTCCAGCAGGACCATTACTTTGTGGAAAACCAACACTTGCATCGACAGTTCCTGTATTGTGTAATATACACTTTCAGAAAGCCCAAAAGCATGTTGCTCGAGCTTTAAAAGATGCTGGTCACAATGTCTCTTCAACAAGCAAGCCTCCGCCAAAGCTCCACGTGATAGTAGCTGCATTTGTTCATCATATTCAAGCAAAACGGAAGATTTCACGGAATGAAGGTAAACTCAAAAGTATAGTAAAAGAAGAAAATACAAGCTGAGTCAATCCGTTAGCGTTCCCTGATTATTGCATCAAGTCGTCCAGAAGTGAAAAGGTGAGGATCTTTGACTAATATATCATTCTAAGTGAGAAAGACAGAGAGCTCAATCTCTTTGATTTGCCACAGTTAGGTTGGTGACAAGAAGTCAAAGCGCAGTTGGTAATGTCTATTACCATGTTTTCTTGGTGAAACCTATCTCATAGGAGTTGTCTCATACCTTTCATATAATCTTTTTGGTGGCTTTTCTTTATTCTTCGTATACATATAATCATCACATACTTACTGTGTTGGTTGCTATATTTTTGCAGGTATAGCATTGCACTCTTTCGCATTGTGCATGAGCTTGTAGAGTCATCTTGTATACTGTTGAATGGAGATTCAGCTGGACATGGAGCAGTATCGTAACTGAAGCATGGAAAGCAACCACATGGCTATTGTCAAACTAGATAGACAAAAAAAATGTACTTAACACTTACAAATCTGTTCTTTGAGATCTTTGATAGGAGGAGATATAGCTCTAAGGTACAAATAGACATGGATACGCTTTTGCATATATGCATCCTCCATGCATGTGTGTAGTCTGTTTTCTAAAGCTCTGTGTCTTAGTGTGAATGTTATGCGTCTGGATCTCGTGACAAACTTGGTTTGAGAGAATGTAAATTACGAATCTGAAGCATTTGCGAGTATTTCAATGTGACTAAAAAATTGGTTCCTGAATGTTTAGACATAAAACGTTTTTGTTGGGCTCTGATTCTCTTCTACAGCTTCATCTCTTTCATGATCTTGTGAATAAACTCGACTAGAGACAGGTTTTTGTTACAGTGTATAAGACAAGTCTTTAGTTGCTTATTTTATAAACTTGGTACCCATATCATAAGCACAAAAACTTTTTCAACTTCTGTTCGAACTCATTCTAACATTTGGAGATGTCCGTCTCTGTGTTTTGTTGCAATAACGAAGCATTGTAATTGACAAATTGTATCTTCGAAAATCTGTGTTTAGAATTTAAAATCACTAAAGGGAATCAAAACTGGCCGGTTTAGGTGTGCTCTGGTTTAGGCTCTTTTGGTTTCAATTTTAAAAAAAAAAAATATCGAACCGGAGAATCCCCGGTTGAGGGTTTATGTATGGTCGTCTCTGAGAGTAGGAATCAAAGAAGCAGATTGGTTTGGTCAAAGCTCGAGAATATGGCGAATAGCAAGTACGAGTATGTGAAATCATTCGAATTGGAAGACGAAGTTATGCTTCCTAATTTGATGGTTGTTCGGATCGATGGTCGTGATTTTACGAGGTAAAATCTCTCGCTTTTTGTTCGTTAATCGGGATTGGAGAAGGGATATAGTGTTCTAGATTATGAATTTTTTATCAGTTTTTAATTCTATAGAATGTCAATGGTGATGAGATTCTGATTGGTTGTTTAATAGAAAATTACTTGAAAATCAGTGTTTGTGGATTTAGGAGGTGAAAACAGTTGATGGAGTTTGGATTATGATGGCTGTAGTTTCATTTGTTGGAAATTACTTGCATTTGTTTGTAGTTTTATCACTGTCGGAGTCAGATAGTATTTCACATTGCTCCTGGAACTTCAACAGTGATGAAAGATATTTTCTTATATATGTGTATATTGAGAATGTTATTTGTTTTGCTTCTTATAACACCATTTGTACCCTTCTTGATAACTATAGATTTTCTCAAGTTCATGAGTTTGAGAAGCCTAATGATGAAGCAGCCCTCAATCTGATGAATTCTTGTTCAGCTGCGGTTTTGGAAGAGTTTCCTGATATAATCTTTGCATATGGATACAGTGACGAGTACAGGTCCCAAATTCACTTTGTTGACTTTATTATTCTTAGGTTTTGCACTTCTACTCATACTTGTATATTTTCATATACAAGCTCTAAATTGTTTTCCGTGTATCATGTAGCTTTGTATTCAAGAAAACATCAAGATTTTACCAGAGACGTGCCAGGTATCGATTCGATTGATAATTTTGTTTCAAAAGCGAATTTACTTGAAGAAAGCTTTTACACAACAATAAGTACTTTTCTTTTGTCTGATTAACCCATACTTTTTACTTTCTTGTCTTTGTTTGAAATGCAGTAAGATTTTGTCTCTCGTAGCTTCGTTTTTTGCTGCAGTCTATGTAACAAAATGGAAAGAGTTTTTTCCCCAAAGAAAATTAGAATATGCTCCTTCCTTCAGTTCAAAAGTTGTAATTTGTGCATCATCAGAGGTTCTTCAAGCTTATCTTGCGTGGAGACAACAGGATTGTAAGACCTTCTTACATCCAATTACCTTAAACAACGCAGTCATGAGATATATGTTCCAGATACTAGTTATACTTATTGCTGTGAACAACTTCCATTTTTGGTTGCAGGCCACGTCAATAATCAGTATAACACTTGCTTCTGGATGTTAGTTAAAAGTGGAAAGACCGTAAGTGAGACGCAAGAGATTCTGAAGGTGTGTTGTTTGTGCTTTTCTATGACATTGTTCTTTGATATAGAAAATCTTTAGCACTATGACTAGAAG